TCTATATTGTAATTTTCATGACAACCAGAGGTCTCAATATGATTTGCAACCCATGAAACACATGAAGTGAAGATACTATCGTCATTTAGGAGACAGAGCTACCACTGTGCTCTCACCAACTTTCCAGAAACACCACTGTGATATCGACCAGATAATTAGATCATCAGTTAAAGGTACAGTTTCCAAGTAAATGACATTTGAATCTATGACTGCATTGGTTTTTCAGCAGTTTTTAAAAAGTTCAAACATTATTTTTTAACCTGGCTATCTTGAATACTGAATTATAAATGAACATCAGCAAAAGCACTGCTGAGTGGCTATTTCCAAGGCAACAAACTCAATGGGACCTGACAGCTGACCAGGGAATGAAGGTAAGGCATTATGGACAAATATCAGCTTAAGAAATATTAAATAGAATCATATTAGCCCCACTAAAGTAGTTTTGGAAAAAGGATGGGAGAGGAATTTATGGAAGTTATACAATCTATCTTCCTGCCTTAATACAATCTAGCCAGAGTTAGGGTCAGAATGATACCAATCCTCACTCAGGAGGGGCATGTTGAGCTATCCATTTGCCTCCACAAAAAAAAAAACTAAGAAGTTAGAAAGGGACAGAGAAGAAAATCTTATTTCTTCTATGTGCATACTTCTGATTTCATCTGGATCCAACAAATCTTTCGAAACCAGTGCAGCTGACAGAAAGAAGTTAGCAGCTGCTTCCAAGACAGCAAGTGAGGGCATTTGTTTAGCCTCTGCAATTTTTTAATGGGGTCAAAATGACCCAGAAATCATTTAGAAAGACTCATGAAAATCATACCTTTGGAAGTTTAGTACATACCTGTTAAAGATATGTTAGCTTTTAGTAGATTTTGCTTTGGAAGGTAGGATTTTCTTTGCATTTTCTTTGCAGCTGATTTTCTGTTTCTTTAGTTATCCATTCACTTTATTGGTTGCAGTTGAATTGCATCCCACACCTCATAATCCTTTACTCATTACTGAATGATATTGTGATCACTACAGACAATAACATACACAGAGGGTGGTGGTGGAGGGTTGTTTTTCAGACTGGAGGCCTGTGACCAGCAGTGTTCCAGAGATTGGTACTGGATCCACTTCTGTTTGTCATTTATATAAACAGTTTGGATGAGAATATAGGAGGCATGGTTAGTGAGTTTGCAGATGACACCAAAATTAGTGGTGTAATGGACAGTGAAAAAGATTGTCTAAGATTACAAAGAGATCCTGTTTAGTAGAACAAACAAGGGCAGGACTTGTAAAGTTAATGGTAGGGCCCTGGGTACTGTTGTAGAACAAAGACCTAGGGGTTCAGGTACATAATTCTTTAAAATTTGCATCACAGGTACACAGGGTGGTTAAGAAGGCAGTTAGCATGCTTGCTTTAATTGCTCAGACCTTTGAGTATAGGAGTTGGGATGTCATGTTAAGGTTGTACAGGATGTTGGTGAGGCCTCTTCTGGAGTACTGTGCGCACTTCTGGTCACTATAGAAAGGATATTATTAAATTGGAGAGGGTTCAGAAAAGATTTACCAGGATGTTGCAGGAATGGAGATTTTGAGTTATAAAAATAGGATAGGCTAGGACTTTTTTCACTGGAGTGTAGGAGGTTGAGGGGTGACCTTATAGAGGTTTATAAAATCATGAGGGGCATATTTTTAAGGTATGAGGAGAAAGTTTTATAAAGGACATGAGAGGCAAGTTGTTTTTTTTTTTTTACAGAGAGTGGTTTGGTGTGTGGAATAAACTGCCAGAGGAAGCGGTGGATGCAGGTAGTTACAAATTTTAAAAGACGTTTGGATAAGGACATGAATAAGAAAGGTTTGGAGAGATATGGGCCAAATGCAGGCAAGTGGGACTAGTTTAGTTTGGGAACATGGTCAGCATGGATGAGTTGAACCGGAGGGTCTGTTTCCATGGTGTATGACTCTAAGTAAATTCATATCTTGAGTATATTGAAATGTATCAGCAATTGAATGGCAAAATAAATTTTTTCACTACCATCCTTGGTATGGTATAATCACAGTCTATCATTTGCTTCATTTGTTTCACTCCTTTTCCATTATCTTCCATTACTCAGCTTATCTTTTCATTGCCTTCAGTCTTTTCCTGCTCCTTTCTGCTTTTGTTACACTTCCTCCAGGATGTTGATCTAGGATGCTGATTTCTTTGCATTACATTCTTCCCATCTATACTTCTACTTTGGATGACGGTCTATACATCATTACCCTGGTTAAAACCTAACTTGTGTGTAATACCATCTTGCTTCTGTGAAGCCTTCCTACATTGTAATATATTTTAGTACCCAGTCTGCCCAAATTGCCACGGTGGTAGAGAAGCCCTCATGACTGAGACAGATGTTAGGTTCTGACTCTTAAATTCGCTTGCCCTTTGCTTTGTTCAACCACTCTCATCTTCACTTTTGACCATTCTTAGCAGAACTTTAATCATGTTTCATCCCTGTTAGTTGCCTCGTAATGTCTTTCTTTGGCATTCAAATCTAAGATATGTAAATTTTTGTGTCTCTGACACACACGTGCTGACCTATCCCTTACCAAAATCAGATAAAATGTGACAGGATCTCTTTTCTTTTGTGAAAACTACTGCTATTCAAATATCTTAAAGTAGACAAAAGTAATACCAGAGTCCAATTGTCTTTAACCCCTCTCATCTGCCTCGTTCAGCATTACCTTCAAGACATGTCCATTGCATTTCCTTATTATTACAATAGAGACTGTCCATTCAGCTTTGGTGAGGCTTTTGGGACAGGTCCAAACTTGTTTTTGGGTATCCATTTTATTCTCAAAGCTCTACTTTAAGTAAGGCACGTTATTGCTGTTGTTTGGGTCAATGGAGGAGAAATGGAAGCATATGTCTTTGCACTGCTCCTGCCTTCTCTTCTGATTTTAGCACGGGGAAAGAGGTGTAGATACAAGAATTTTCTTTGAAGCTAGAATACATTCTGATGGGAGCCGGGTCCTATCCTGAGTTGCAACACCCTCTGCGCTGGGCTTATAGTCAAAGAGAACAAAGAACAATACAGCACAGGAACAGGCCTTTGGCCCTCCAAGCCTGCGCCGACACATTTTACTCTTCCACACTAAAATGGTCTTCACTTACAGGATCCATATCCTCTATCCCTTCCTATTCATGTATTCGTCCAGGTGTTTCTTGAACATTGCTTTGCGTCTGCTTCCACCACTTCCTCTGGCAGCATGTTCCAGGCACTCACCACCCCTTGTGTGAAGAGCGTGCCTCGCATATCTCTTTTAAACATCCTCCCCCCACCACGACTTGAAATTGTGCCCCCTAGTAATTGACACCTCTACCCTGGGAATAAACCCTCATACTTTCCACTCTATCCATGCCATTCACAATCTTGTAAACTTCTATCAGCTTGCCCCTCAACCTCCTATGTTCCAGTGAAACCAAACCCAGTATATCCAACCTTTCTTCATAGCTAAAATCCCCCATACTAGGCAACATCCTGGTAAACCTTTTCTGTACCCTCTCCAAAGCCTCCACATCCTTCTGGTAGTGTGGTGACCAGAACTGTATGCAATATTCCAAGTGTGGCCTAATTAAAGTTCTATAAAGCTACAGTATAACTTGTTGATCCTGAAACTCAATGCACCTTCCAACGAAGGCAAACATGCCACAGGCCTTTTTAAAAACTACCTTAACTACCTCCACTGCTTGCAGTGATCTGCAGACCTGCACACCCAGATCCTCTGCATATCAATGCTCCTAAGGGTTCTGCTAGTCACTGTAAAATTTCCACCTGTACTTGACCTTCCAAAATGTATAACTTCACATTTGTCCAGATTAACCTCCATCTGCCATTTTTCTGCTAATGCCTCCAACTGATCTATAGCCGGTTCTTTTCTGACAATGCTCCTCACTACCTGCAACTCCACCAATCTTTGTATCATCCACAAAGTTACTAATTACACCAGCTACATTTTCTTTCAAACCACTTATGTAGAGTGTGAACAGCAGAGGTCCCAGCACTGATCCCTCTGGAACACCACTACTCACAACCCTCTATTCTGAAAAGCATCCTTCCACCGTTACCCTCTGCCTCCCACGACTAAGCCAGTTCTGTATCCATCTTGCAAGCTCACCCCTGATACCATGTGACTTCACCTTTTGTACTAATTTGCCATGAAGGACTTTATCAAAGGCTTTACTGAAGTCCATGTAGACAACATCAACCGCTTTTCGTTCATCAATCATCTTTGTCACCTTCTCAAAAAACTCAATCAAGTTAGTAAGGAACAACCTCCCCTTCACAAAACCATGCTGTCTATCTCTAATAAGTCCATTTGCTTCTAAATGCAAATAGATCTTGTCCCTGAGAATCTTTTCTAATACTTTCTCTACGACTGACGCGAGGCTCACATGCCTGTAATTTCCTGGATTATCCCTGTCACCCTTCTTAAACAATGGGACAACATTGGCTATTCGCCAGTCCTCTAGGACCTCACCTGTGGCCAAAGAGGTTAGAAAAATGTCTGTCACTGCCCTAGCAATTTGTTCTCTTGCCTCCCTCAACATTATGGGATAGATACCATCAGGACCTGGGGTCTTATCTACTTTAATACATTTTACAACGCACAACACCTCTTTTTAATAGCAACTTAGCTTAGAAATTCGACACTCCCTTCCCTGAGATCATCCTCCACCAATTTCTTCTCTTTGGTGAACACAAAGTATTCATTTAAGACCTCATCTATCTCTTCTAGCTTCACAGATAGATCCCTCCTTTGTCCTGGAGTGGGCCAACTCTTCCCTGGCTATCCCATTTGCTTTTTATATATGTTTAAAAAGCCTTGGGATTCACCTTAATCCTGTTTGCTTTTAGCCCTTCTAATTCCTTGTTTCTTTCCTACTTTCCTTATATACTTCAAGGGCTTCACCATGCTGTACATCCCAGATGCAGGATTTTTTAAGTCAAAATGACTCAAAATATATCATAGGATCTCTCAGTAAAAAGTTTCTATTTTTATTTCCAGACTTTTCTTCTTAAGGAACACAGATACAAACAAAATTCAGTAACTGTAACAACGCTTATATTTAACAAAAACACTTTCAATTGCTACAACTGCAGGAAATCACGTTTCAGTCTGTAAATAGCGTAGTTCAGAATGGCTGACATTAAAATTTTCTCTTTTTGAATAGTATTTCTGGTTATTCGCTTCAAAGAACTTAGTAGCTGACCCAAGTGCTGATATGTATCCAATGCTTTGATTTGGGAGAGGATAGTTAGTTCTTGGCTTCTGAGGAGGGTACTTCCATCATCCAGAAGGTTCAAATGAAATGCACGGTGAAAAAAGGAAGATTTTTTCTTTCACTCCCAAACTATCAAAGTCAGACTCACCTCTTCATAAGGAAGTTGCTTTCACTTTTAAGACAGAAGTGTTTATCATCTTTGGGGTCGAGGTGGCAACCCAGTTACATTCCACACCTTCATTTGTGTTGAGTATCAAGGCTGCTATTCCTTTGGTTTATCCTTTTGTGTATCAGTCATTTTCTAATGCTGGAATTGTCTACAGTACCCCACAGCATTATGATCCTACCCTCAGTCCTGCTTCCTTCAGCATGATGGAACTTTGAAAAACTTCCAGAAGCACCAATAGCCTCTGGCATAACAGTATCCTCCCTTTTCCAACAAATGTTAAGTATTCAACAGTATAATTTAGAGTCATTCTCTTAGTTACTACAATGCTTTATAAGTTTCTAAATGTTGATTTTGAAATGAGAATCCAAACAAAATCTACAAGGCATTTTCTTAATAATTAAAATTACAATAGGCTGGTGTTCTCATTTAATTATATAAAATCACAACATTGGAGTTAGCACAACTTAAAATTTTGCATAACAAACCCTGTACAAGTGAAAGATTCCAAATCTTTTATGATAATTTAACCAATTTTGAGTTTGAATAGGAGCTGACACAATATTAAACAGTTGGTAGTTAGTTTGACTTTGTTATATCCAGAAAATACTGCAGAATATCATCTATACTGAAATTCATGGTTATTCCAGAGCCGGGGTAACACCGAGCAATCATTTCTTCAAACTCCTTGTACTGGCGGACAAACTCTCCTTGCATTGTATACCACACTACCTGTGAAATTGGTAAGGTACATGTTTAGTGACTGTCTTTTCTACAGTCACTGATATAACTGTATCATACGCTAGTTTCATCAAATAAACAAATATTATTCACTGTTCATAAATACAATTTATTCCATTATAAGGAAAATAAAGCATAAAGGAATAGATAAAAGTTAAACTCGAGTTTCTTCTCAGTTCTGTTACTTTTGGTGCACTTAAAATTGGCAGAATTACTGCAGAAATTTTACTGGGCACAAATCAAGATTCCCCAATCTTTTGCAGTGGTTTAAAGAGCATATTTAAAAGAAGTGGATTTTCCCACAAATCTGGCCATGTCTCCAGATCATGTGACTCACTGTTGAGAATTTTTACAAATTTACAAGCTGTTGAGGAAGCTAAAAAATTAAGTTGGCTGTTTTAGGTGCAATGATATTACTAGCCTATAAAATTCCTGTTAGAAATATATATTTTAAAAAAAGGATAATACTGAATGCTTTTGTAAAGTCATTTTCATTTATGTTCATTTTGATTAATTACAGCTGGTCAACTTGTTACTGATTTATTTGCAAATTTTGTGTTAAAACCATTTTTAGTTGTATTAAACTATATCAAGTTATCATTCTTAAGTGTATCAAGGCATATTTTTGAAAGTAATTTAAAAAACCCAGTGGCATAATTGATGGAAGATATGGTGCACAGCGATACGCAAGTAAGTTTCATTGGCAACTTGAGGGAATGAAAATCCTCAAAAATGTGAACCTAGGCAGCTGACTATGGTACACTGAAAGAAGAATCACTACTCCATGTTTTTATATGCCAGGTACCATGTCTTTACTGTTTTGAGGCTTTTTAAACACTTATGTTTAACAAGTCTACAATTCTGATCTTGTTTCTAAATTCAAAATTTGGTACAAATTAAACATAGGCCTTCATAATTTTTAAACATGTATAGATTGTTATTCCTGTACTTTATGGTTGCTATGCACCAAAGGATTTTCTTTAACATAACTGGCAGCAGATCTTAATATATACATGAAGCTTTTCCTGACCTGAATTGCAAAAGCTGCACTGTTGTAAGGTCCCAAATCAATGGTATTTTCAAAATATCAAATACCTTCTTTGAATAATAATTGCATTCACATTTCATTATGCCATCATACTTTTTACAGATATTTAACATCTGAGGTAAAAGTTAATGTTCAGATAACACAAAAAAGAGTGTAAAGAAAATATTAAGTAGATAGGACAGATAACAGACCATAGCACCATGGTTGGTTCAGCTGAACACAGGGATGAAGAATACCAAAAATGCAATAGCAATAGGAGGTTCAACAGTTAGAGGGGACAGGCACAAATGTGAATCCAGAGTAGTTTGTTGCCTCATAGTGCCAGAGTCAAGGACTGAATGTTTCCAGAATGTACTGTGAGGGGCAGATGAACAGCCATTTGCAGTCCTCATGAATTACCAGTGACACAGGTAGGAGGAGGGATATGGTCCTGAAGGAGCTAGATAGGAAATTAGAAAAAAAAGGATCTCACAAGTAGTAACCCAGAATACTGTCAGTTCAATGCACAAGTGAGCATAAAAATAGGAAGACAGAGCAGAAATATGTGTGGCTGCATAGATGGTGCAAATGGGGTGGGATTTACAGTCATGTGAATTTGGCATTAATTCTCAGCAAGATAGGACCTAAACAGGCCAGACGGATTACACCTAAACAGCCAGGATCAATTACCTTGTTCGAGTTTGGAAGGGTTTACACCTAAGCAGCAGGCGTTGGGAACCAGAAAGTAACATTAAAGATGGATGCCCAGGTGAAAAGAATATTGCGAGAGGGAACTGGTGAAGTGTTAAGTGGGTTCAGAGTAAAAGGCAAAGCAATTTAGTCTAAATTACAGTTACAATGCATGCATGTGCTGAATGTAAAATAAGACTGGGGAGTTGCAGACACAAATTGCCATATTGAAATATGTTTTGATAACTGACACCTGGCTCAAAGATAGTTCAAAAGTTTTCTTTTAATATAAGGAGCTGAACCTTACCAGATATTGGCTACATGTCACTTTTGGCAAATTTCACAGAGGAATTCTCACTGTGAGCCCTAGCTGGTTTTCTAGCACTATCTTCTCAAACAGATCTCATTAATTATGCTCTATGCTCCTATGGCACCCTGCAAGTTGTATTCTCCACTTTGGCCACTGCCAAACATATCCTGGGATTCCTGGCACAATACCATCTTTAAAACCCAATTGTGCACCTGGTCAATTGCTGACAGACTGCAACTGCCCTGCATGGTTTGTTCCATTTGCCTGGATATGTCTGGCACCCTGCTTTGCTAATGAAGACCTGGAAATCCTGCTGGATGGGAGGTGTGTGTGATTGCTGCACAAGACGGTGCTCTGAGATACTGGTGACTGATGAAGGTCCAAAGGAAAAGTGTTGTACCAGAGTCACCAGGTTTCCACTCTGACTTTAACGTTGTGAATTGTCGATCTTGGTTTTTAATAATTGGATTGGAGAATGGGAAATTGCAGATTAATAAGCCAAAATGACAATAATGTTGACATTAATAGCGGCTAACACTGGGAGGTGACGGCCTAGTGGTATCAGTCAAACAATCAATAAAAAAAAACATGAGTAATCCTGAAACCCAGGATGTTCTGGAAATCAGGGGCAATAAAAATCTGGAATTGAAGGTCTAATGATGACCCTGAAACTATTGTGAATTGTTGTATAAACTCATTCGGTTCACTAATGTTGTTTGGGGAATGAAATCTGAGATCCTTACTTGCTCTGGCCAACATGGGACACCAGGCCACAGCGACATGGTTAACTCTCAACTGTCCTCCGAGATGGCCCAGCAAGCCACTCAGTTGCATCTATTCCTAGAAAGAACAGACCACCTGGCATCAATTAAGGCAAATGAATGATGCCATAAACAGCCCTGTTGACTCTGCAAAGTCCTTCTTACTGACATCTGGGGGCTAGTGCCAAAATTGGGACAGCTTCTCACAGACTCAAAAAAAAAGCACGATGTAGTCATACGCATGAAACCATTCATAACATCCCAGACAACACTACCACCATCCTTGGGTATGTCCAGACAGACCGAGCAGAGGTGGCGGCATTGCGGTATGCAAAGCTGCTCCAGGAGTAACCAACATTGACTTCGGGACTCCATGAATTCTAATGACACCAGATCAAGTACTGGCAAAGAAACATCCTGTTGAATACCATGCACCACCACCCCCAACTGATGAGTCAATGCTCCTTCATGTTGATTAGCACTTGGAAGAAGCATGGAGGGTGGCAAGGGTGCAGAATGTACTCTGGGTGGGACCTTCAATATCTGAGTTTCTCCAGCACTTTTGGTTTTTATTCCAGATTTCCAGCATCTGCACTACTTTGCTTTTAATTGAACAGTTTCTGTATGATCACTTATACAGAATGCTCGCAAATTGGTTTTCTATTTGAAAAGCGGGAAACAGGACTGAAGGAACTTTGAGTTTTAAGAAACATGGAGTTGCTAATTTGGACCTTGCTGATGGACGTCCGTCCTGGAATAATCAGTCTGCGTGCAATGATTTTCAAAGACAATTGGAAGATTTGACCTTGTGTGGCAGGGAAACATGAACCGGCTGGAAGCTGAAGAACTTGAAATTTAATCATCTGCTAAATACATGGCACAAAATAAAAAAAACTCATCATCCCATTTATTTTGATCGCATTAGTTAGTTAATGCAGTACCACAACACCACCTTTTTTTAAAGTTACTATAATTGTACTTCTTAAGTACTCAGTTAATATCAGCTGATTTTGATGTTTATTGAAGTAAAAATCTTAAGGTGTGGAATCTTGTCCCTCATTCTTTGAGGAAAGCAACATTTAAGAAAGAATTATTGGTTTCTTTGGGGATTGTATCATATTCTAAGTTATTTTAGCTGAAAATTGGGTGTTTGGGTCTTTAGGTAACATCATTGCCAGTACCTGTACTGAAACTGAATGCTTGCTCTTTGGTGAATGACATGTGAGTACATACAATGCACCTACATGGTCCAAATTTGGAAAGTGTGCTTCTGAACAGCTATCATGAATGGCATTATGGCCTGGGGAGGCAATGGCCTAGTGGTATTATCACTAGACTGTTAATCCAGAGACTCAGATAACATTCTAGGCATTTGGATTCGAATCCCACCACAGCAGATGGTGGAATTTGAATTCAATTAAAAAATATCTGGAATTAAGAATCTAATGATAACCATGAATCCACTGTCGATTATCAGGAAAAACCCATCTGGTTCACTAATGTCCTTTAGGGAAGGAAAATGCCATCCTTACCTGGTCTGGCCTACATGTGACTCCAGACCCACAGCAATGTGGTTGACTCTTAACTGCCCTTGGGCAATTAGGGATGGGCAGTAAATGCGGCCTGGTCAGCTATGCCCTCGTCCCGTTAATGAATAAAGGAAAAAAAACTGGATTGTTAATCTAGAAACCCAGCTAATGTTCTGGAGACCCAGGCTTGAATATTGTCACAGCAGATGCTGGAATTTGAATTCAATAAAAATCTGGAATTAAGAGTCTAAAGATGACCACAAATCTATTGTCAATTGTTGGAAAAACACATCTGGTTTACAAATGCCATTTAGGAGAGGAAACTGCCATCCTTACTTGGTCTGGACTACATGTGGTTGAGTCTTAACAATTACTTTCAGGATAAGCAATAAATGCTGACCCAGTCAGTGATGCCCTCATCCTGATAATGAACTGAATTAAAATTAAATTACTATGAATTGAGATGTTTCTGATACATAGGGTACAACTGCTCGGCACCTGTTTCATTATGGAGTACTTATTTAGGAGCAGCATTATTTATTGGGAGGGTGTTTAGTTTTTGTAGTGCAGCTTTCAGCTATGCTATGGATGCAAATTTTGAGCTCTTCACATAAAAGCAGTTCCATGAATCTAAACCATTCTTAAAAAGCCACACAGAGTCATTCTACTCATTTCGTTATTGGGCTCTCTTACAAGATTTCATTTTGACTCTCCACTAATTTCCATTTACCTGTAACAGGTTTCCTTCTTCACTCAGATGTCTAACCACTTTTTTGTACAGATTTTCCAGCGCTTTCTTTACCTCTTTCCCTTGATATTTTTCAATCACTTTCCTTAGCTCCTGTTTGCTAAATGCCAGTTGATAGCTAACTTCATTTTCTTTGACACCCTGTGCAATACGGGCCTTGACTCCATCAAAGAAGATCTGCAAATTTAAAACATATCATTTTATCACCAATATAACATTTTAGTACAAACAGTTTCATGCTCAAGTATATTGTTAAGAGAATTATTATGTGAAAGAATTCAACAAATATTTTAAGAAAATATGCTTAATCACACGAACAATGAAGATGTTTCTTCTGTTTAAGCGGCATGTACCTGAAACTATGCAATTGGCATCCATTAACCTATCTGTCACCAGAACATAGAGGCTGAGGTGCTCATATCTCAACATTTCCAAGTAGGAGTGCTACTGAGGCTTCAATTTGCCTGGGAAGCAATCATGAAATTATGCTATATGATGCAACCTGTCTTGATAAAGCTGTGTCACTGAGACATTCAAAACTAAAATGAATAAATTTTGTCAGGGAATGATATTAAGCATCTAGTCTTGAACAACATCCACTACAGACAGCATGGGTTCTTGCTCTTTCACACTGACATTTGCCTTCCAGTCATCAACAGTACAAGGAAGATGCAATGGAAAATCCGTAAAACAAACTGGCAAAAAAAAGCTAGATCTTAGATCATATAATTGTAATGTAGCTACCCACAATCCATTTGTGGACGAACTAGAAGTGCTTTTGAGGTGCAATTCACAAATCTGCTTGCACAGCCAACTACATCTCAAGCCCCCTAAACACAGCACTGCAGAGGATTATGAATCACTGGTGACCCTGACATAGCAAATCACTTGAGTCTCTCAAACCTGCAAAATACGCCAAAGGCAAGGATATCTCAGCAAAGTTCAATTTCACTCATTCCAGTTGGAAGAGCTGGAGCCTAATTTGCATACTAAAATTGCCCATTAGTCAACCCAAAAGTTGTTAGTCTTCTATTCCATGTGGCAAGGACGCCATATAAAAAAAACAAAATTCATGACCTGTAACGAACTGAAAAAAAGCAATGGCAGTAACACGCAGAGCATTGCAGATGATTATTCAAGATCAAAGAAGTGGAGAAAGCATGAAGGGGTCTGAAACATTGTAAAACTTGGCCCCTATGCTTCTGACAGCTGACTCAGTTCCATACAATAGTCATTAGCTCAAGCTCACTTTTGAAGGTGTGGCATATGGCAAAAATTATTGCTATTTCAAACCCAGATAAGATCTCACAGTGGCCAGCTATCAAGCAATCTCACGAATTTCTGTGCAGTTTCAGACCTTTAAGCATCTTACCCTGTAATGCACACATCTGGAAATAGACACTATCCTTAATGTCATCAAAGCTGGTTTCTGCAGGCACTGCAGCATATATGGTTAAGTGCTGGTGCTCAACACCAACATTGAAAATGGTTTCCAAATGAACTTGAAGACATGCATTGTATTATTGTACCTCACAGCTCGCTGTGATACAATGTGGGACTCTGGTTGCTCCTAAAGCTGTTCACAATGCTTACAATCTGGATCTGGAAAGTTGTTGAAACACTCAATCAGGAAAATTGATGAGATATTCCTTCTCAACAGATGACTTAGAGCACATCCTGGACAAAGCAGAAGCATGTAGAAGAGACTGACTGACAGATATCACAGGACTCAATTCCAGCCTTAATACCAGACTAATGAAAACAGGAGGAGTAGGTCATTTGGACCTTCAATACTGCTCTGCCATTCAATATGATCATGGCTAATCATCCAATTCTGTACCCTGTTCCAACTTTCTTCCCATACCCTTTAATCTCTTTAGCCATAAGAACTATATCCATCTCCTTCTTAAAACATTCAATGTTTTGGCCTCAACTGCTTTCTGTGGTAGACTTCCACAGGCTCACCACTCTGCTTGAAGAAATTTCATCTCATCTCATTCTTAAATAGCTTACTCCATATCCTTAAACTGTGACCCTGGTTCAGAACTCTCCAGTCATTGGGAACATAGAGGCACATCTCAATCTGACCTAGTCCAATTTGCCAGCATTTGGCCCACATCTCTCTAAATGCTTCCTATTTATATACCCATCCAGATGCCTTTTAAATGCTGTAATTGTGCCAGTCTCCACCACTTCTCTGGCAGATTGTTCCATACATGTACTACCCTCTGCGTGAAAAGTTACCCCTCAGGTCCTTTTCAAATCTTTCCTCTCTTACATTAAATCTATGCCCTCTAGTTTTGGGTTCCCCTACCCTAGGAAAAAGACCTTGGCTATTCAACTTATCCATGCCCCTCATGATTTTATAAACCACCACAAGGTCACCCCTCAGTTTCTAATGCTCCAGCGAAAAATACCCAGCCTTTTTAGCCTCTTCCTATAGCTCATACCCTCCACTCCCAGCAACATTCTTGTAAATCTTTTTGGCACCCTCTCAAGTTTAACACCATCCTTCCAGTATGAGGGTGACTAGAATTGTACGCAGTATTCCAAAGGGGCCTCACCAAAGTCCTGTACAGCCGCAACATGACATCCCAACTCATACTCAATGTTATGACCAATGAAGGCAAGCGTGCCAAACACCTTCCTCACCTCCCTGTCTACCTGTGACTCCATGTTCAAGGAACTGTCCACCTGCACCCCTAGGTTTTTTTGTTCAGCAACACTCCCCAGGGCCCTACCATTAACTGTTTAAGTCTTGCCCTGGTTTGCCTTACTAAAATGCAATACCTCACATTTATCTAAATTAAAATCCATCTGCCACTCCCATTGGCCTATCTGATCAAGATCCTGTTATACTTTGAGATAATCTGATTGATTGATTTACTTTATTGTCACGTGTACTGAAATACAGTGAAAAGCTTTGTTTACGAGCAGTACAGGCACATCACAGCAAGCAAGATCAAAAAGACTCGGAGGCATACAGATTACATTTCAGATTACATTATGTGAGGCTAGATTCCATTCAACAGTCTGAGACAAACGGAAAGAAGCTGTTCCTGAACCTGCTGTACGTATGTTCAGGCTTCCATATCTTCTCACTGACAGAAGAGGTTGTAGAAGGTCATTACCAAGGTGTGATGGGTCTTTGATGATATTAGCCGTCTTTTCGTGGCAGCAAGCTGTGTAAATAGAGTCCATGGATGGAAGGTTGGTTCCGCGATGGTCCAGACTGTGCACACAACCTTCTGTAGTTTCTTATGGTCCTGGGCAGAGCAGTTGCCATACCAGCCCATTATGCACCTGGACAGTATGCTTTCAATGGTAAATCGGTAGAAGTTGGTGAGGGACCTTAAGGACATGCCAAATTTCCTGAGCCCCTTGAGGAAGAAGAGGAATTGTTGTGCCTTCTTGACTGTTGCATTTAAGTGGGAAATCCAGGACAGGTTGTTGGTTATCGTCACTCCGAGGAACTTGATGTATCCACTACACTATATTGGCGTCATCTGCAAAATTACCCAGCATATCTCCTATATTGACATCCAAATCATTTATATAAATGAAGAAAAGCAGTGGACCCAGCACTGACCGTTGTGGCACACTGCTGGTCACTGGCCTCCGATCTGAAAAACAACACTCCATCACCACCCTCTGTCTTCTACCTTCAAGCCAATTCTGTATTCAATTGGCCAGCTCCCCCTGGATCCCATGTGATCTAACTTTACTAACCAATCGATTATGAGGAACTTTGATGAACATATTTCTGAAGTCCATTTAGACAACATTGCCTTCATCAATCTTCTTGGTCACCTCTTCAAAAATCCTTCCTGTATTTACCCTGTTTGGTCCTGTTAGAATCATAAGATTCCCTCTCATTCTTCTAAACTCCAGTGACTATAGTCTTAACCAAACAGTCTCTCTTCATATGTCAGTCTTCCTCTCCCAGGAATCAGTTTGGTAAATATTTGTTACACTCCCTCCATAACTAGAACATGCTTCCTCAGATGAGAAGACCAAAATTGCACACAATCCTCCAGAAATGGTTTCACCAAGGCCCTCTACAATTATGGCAAGGCATATCTGCTGCTCTACTCTAATCTTCTTGCTTTGGAAGCCAGCATACTATTTGCTTTCTTCACTACCTGCTATAGCTATATGCTTACTTTCAGCAACTGGGCTTACAAGTCTTATTTCACCTCCACTTTTCCCAGTCTTATCATCATTCAGATTAAACCCTGCTCTCCTGGATCTCACATGTATCCATGTTATATTTCATTTGTCATGCATTTGCCAGTCATTCAACTTGTTCAAATCACACTGAATCATCTCTGCATCTTCCTCACAGCTCACCTTCCTACCCATCTTTGTGTTGTCTGCAAACATGGAGCTATCCTAATTAGTTCTCTCATCTAATCATTAATATATATTGAGAATAGCCTGAGTCCAAGCACTAATCCCCGTGGTACCCCACTAGTAACTGCCTGATACTTGAAAAAAATCCTCTTAATTCATACTCTTTGTCTCCTGTCTGCCAACAGTTCCTTATTCATGTCAGTACACTGCTCTCAATCCCATGCACTTTAAATTTATATGGTAATGTCTTAGGTAGGACCTTATCAAAAGCCTTCTGAAAGTTCAAGTATATTACATTCACTGGTTCACCCTTATCAATTGTATTAGTTCATTCTCAAAACAATCCAGTAGCTTTGTCAAACATGATTTTCCTTTGGTAAATCCACAGTGACTCTGCCCAATCCGGTCACCATTTACAAGTGTCTGCAGTTAAATATTTTATAATGTACTGAAGCATTTTCGATGCTGTTCAACAAATACAGGCAGTCCCCGGGTTGCAAACAGGTTCTGTCCTGGAGTCTGTTTGCAAGTTGACTTGTGCGCAGGTCAGGACACAATCCAAGACAATGGAAAGCAGCTATTTGTACGCACAGGAAATGTTCGTACGTCAGGTCTTTAAAATGACAACATATGGGAAGCATTCATAAGTCAAATGTTTGTAAATTAGGGACCCCCGTAAACAAAGAACCTGCCAATAACCAGATTTCCCAAGTTTAACAATACTAATAACTGCTGTGCTACTCCAGACCCACAGCAATGTGGTTCACTCTCAATTGCCCTCCGAAATGGCCTAGCAAGCCATTCAGTTGTAGCAATTGCTACAAAGTCTCAAAGAAATGAAACTGGATGGATCACCTGGCATCGACCTAGGCACTGGGAAAGACAACGGCAGAAACAGCTCTGTTGACCCTGCAAAGTCCTCCTCACTAGCATCTGGGGGCTAGCGCCAAAATTGGGAGAGCTGTCTCACAGACTAGTCGAGCAACAGCCTCACATAGTCATTCTCACAGTATCATACCTTACAAATAATGTCCCAGACAACACCATCACCATCCCTGGATATGTATTGTCACACCAGCAGCGCTGACCCAGCAAAGGCGGTGGCACAGTGATATATAGTCGGGAGGGAGTCCTCAACATTGACGGCCAATCCTATGAAGTCTCATGACTTCAGGTTAAACATGGGCAAGAAAACCACATACTGTCCTACCTCTGGCCGATGAATAGGTACTCTACCATGTTGAACAGCATTTAGCATTGAGGCTGGCAAGGGTACAAAGTGTACACTGGGTGAGGGATTTCAACATCCAGCACCAAGGGTAGTTCAGCAGCAGAATTACTGATCAAGCTGGTCAGGTCCAAAAGGACATAGCTGCTAGACTGGGTCTGTGGCAGGAGGTGAGGGAACCAACAAGAGCGAAAAACATACTTGACCTCATCCTTACCAATCTGCCAGCTGCAGATGCATCTGTCCATGACAGTATCGGTAAGAGGGACAACTGCACAGTCCTTGCGGAGACGAAGTCCTGCCTTCACGTTGAGAATAACCTCCATTGTGTTGTGTAGCACTATCAGACTGCTAAATGGCACAGTCTTTGAACAGATCTAGCAACTCAAGACTGGGCATCTATGAGGCGCTACAGGCCATCAACAGCAGCAGGACTGTACTCCAGCACAATCTGTAACCTCATGGCCTGGCATGTCCCCCTCACAACCATTACCATCAAGTCAGGAGATCAACCCTGGAGAGCGCAGAAGGGCATGCCAGGAGCAGCACCAGACATACCTGAAGATGAGATATCAACCTGGTGAAGCCACCAAACAGGACTACTTGCATGCCAAACAGTATGAGCAGCAAGTGATAGAGCTAAGCGATGCCACAACCAATGGATCAGATCTAAGCTTTGAGTCCTGCCTCGTCCAGTCGTAAATGGTGGTGGACAATTAAACAACTCACTGGAGGAGGAGGCTCCACAAATATTCCCATTCTCAATGATGGAAGAGCCCAGCACATCCGTGCAAAAGATAAAGCTGAAGCTTTCGCAGAATCTTCAGCTAGAAGTGCCATTTGGACGATCCATCTTGGCTTCCTCCAGTGGTCCGCAGCATTCCTGATATCACTCTTCAGCTCACTCGATTCACTATACGTGATATCAAGAAACGTTTGGAGGCATTGGATCCTGCAAAGGCTACAGGAACTGACAATATTCTGGCTATAATCTGAAGACTAGTGCTCCAGAACTTGTTGCTCCCTTAGCCACTCTGTTCCAACAGTTACAATACTGGCACGCACCTGACAATGTGGAAAATTGCCCAAGTATGTCCTATACATAAAAAGCAGGTCAAATCCAACCCAGCCAATTACTCCTCACCCCCCCATCAGTCTACTGCTCATCATCAGTAAAGTAATGGAAAATGCCATCAACAGTACTATCAAGCAGCACCTGCTCAGCAATAACCTGTTCAGTGATGCCCAGTTTGGGTTCTGCTAGGGCCACTCAGCTCCCAACTTCATTACAGCCTTGATTCAAACATGGACAAAAGAGCTGAATTCCAGCGGTGAGGTGAGAGTGATAGCCTTTAACATCAAGGCTGCTTTTGACTGAGTGTGGCATCAAGGAGCCCTAGCAAAACTGGAATCAGTGGGTATCAGGGGGCAAACTCTCGGTGGTTAGAGTCATACCTGACACACAGGAAGATGGTCGTGGTTGTTGGAGATCAGTCATCTCAGCTCCAGGGCATCTCTGCAGAACTTCTTCAGGGTAGTGTCCTAAGCACAACCATTCCATCTTCAGCTGCTTCATCAATGACCTTCTCTCCGTCATTAGGTCCGAAGTGGATATCTTTGCTGATGATTGCACAATGTTCAGCACCATTCGCAACACTCCAGACACTGAAGCAGTGCATGTCCAGATGCAACAAGATCTGGACAATATCCAGACTTGGGCTGACAAGTGGCAAGTAACATTTGCACCACACAAATGCCAGGCTATGACTATCACCCATAAGAGATAATCTAACCACTGACCCTTGACATTCAATGGTATCACCATCATTGAATCAGCGACTATCAACATCCTGGGAATTATCATTAATCAGAAACTCAACTGGACTCATCAAATAAATGCAGTGGCTACAACAGCAGGTCAGAGGCCAAGAATACTGCAGCAAGTAACTGACCTCCTGACTCCCGAAAGCCTGTCCACCATCTACAAGGCACAAGTCAGGAGTGTGATGGAATACTCCCCACTTGCCTGGATGAGGGCAGCCCCAACACCACTCAAGAAGCTTGACACCACCCATGATGAAGCAGCCCACTTCATTGGCAGTGCATCCACAAGCATCCACTCCCTCCACCACTGACACTCAGCAGCAGCAGTGTGTACTATCTACAAGATGCACTGCAGATTCTCAGACACCATCTTTCAAACTCATGACCACTTCCATCTAGAAGGACAAGGGCAGCAGATATATGGGGACACCACCACCTTTCCCCTCCAAGCCACTCACCATCCTGACTTGGAGATATATTGCCGTTCCTTCACTGTCACTAAGTCAAAATCCTGGAATTCCCTAATGGCATTATGCGTCAACCCACAGCAGGTGGACTGCAGTGGTTCAAGAAAGCAGCTCACCACCACCTTCTCAAGGGCAACTAGAAACGGGCAATAAATGCTAGCCAGCCGGCGACACCCACATTCCGCAAAATGAATAAACACAAAAAGGGTGACTATTGTTAGCATGATACACAATAATACCCAACTCCCAATATGTAGCTCATAAGAATTGCAATTAGATACATACAACAGCTAGTTTTTTCCCATGCGAAGATGTGCGAACAATTCTGGATGAAGAGTGAGGATTCATAACGAATGATACTGCCAAATATGCATTTATAATGAGTATTTAATATATTTCAAATCAGAATGAAGAAAAGACATGTTTAGTACAGTATTTCTCTTACCTTACTTGACTTAGTAATGTCTGGCACTTTATCTGGCACTTTTTTTCATCTGCATAAGGTGATGGTATTAAGAGTGATGGATGAAGCAACTTCCTTCCATTCACTCCAAGCAGATTTTCTTAGGGACCTGTGTCTATCCATATCAAAGTTGGTCCCTTTTCAGCTTAAGTTCTTCTTGGAAGATGAACAATTTAGGAAGAAAAATTAACTGCACCAGATGCTCCAACACTTTTTCCCAACACATCATCCTTCTTCGACGTCATCTAACTGTTCAATAAAAGCTGTATAAATATGCCCCTTTAAGATCCAGCACTCTCCCTGGCCTCATGTTCAGGTAATTTCTCTAACAAAGGGATCCTTACATCTGAAATTCACATATATTTTATGAAACTTGATCTTGAAACTGCCATTGAGGGCCAAAGTTAAGTACATTGAGTAGCTTAGAATTGTGCATTTTCTATTTCTGAAAAGAGCGATTGAAAGACCTATCTTGAAGATTCAAGTCACTATCTTAGTTTGATATCAATTTAACTTAGCTCAGTAGTAACATGGAGATAGACCTGAATATTTTCTCATTAAAATAGACTAACAATGTAATGTTAAATTGCCAATATCAGATTATTTCAGATTGCTTACAAATATACCATAGCAAGGCACTAACATTTAGTTTCTCCAAAGGCCGTCCCAAGTATTTAGTAACATAGAGATCACGATGTTCTGAATATTTTTGAGAAGCTTGCTTTTTCCTTTCTTCAAGACTGTGGATTTTCAATTCCGAGAGGAAGCAGGAAATGTGATGAAAATTCTCCATCATAACCACATCTGGTGGAGTCTTCAGATTCATTGAGGCAATATTTTCAACTCGAAATAGAAGCAAAAGTAAACAGTAAATGAAATCCATTTCTATGTTACACAAACAGAAGCAACAGAAGCATCTGAACTTTGGCTAACAGGATCCTTTTGTAGTTGATTGCAAAAATGGAGGTTTCTAAGAAGATTGCAAATACTTAAATTATTGTGATATTCAATGTCACTTTTCAACATTGCAATGCTATTGACTATGCACAATAATTTAGCATTCTGTACCTTATTCCAGCCTGACATTAGAAAGATAGTTTTGATACACCCCTTATAAGAAAATAGTATGATAATAGCCTGGAAATCATTCATAATAATAAGGGTTGTGTACATAATATCATGCGTGAGACCACACCAGAGCTTATAACAATTTACAGCCCTTTTATAATACATAGCAATAGATCACTGACATGAGCTAGAGAGTTACATGTCCCCCTAATGGTAAACTGAAGGATCAAGGAATGCATTCATTTGAAATGATGAGGTGATGGCTAGTGGTATTATCACCAGGTTATTAATCCAGAGACCCTTGTAATGTTCTGGGGATCTGGGTTCCAATCCTGTCATGGCAAAAAGGTGAAGCTTGAATTCAATAAATATCTGGAATCGAAAGTCTAATGATGATTTTGAAATCATTAATGACTGTCAGGGAAAAACCCATCTGGTTCACTAATGTCCTTAAGGGAAGGAAACCTTCCCTGATCTGGCCTACACGTGACTCCAGACCCACAGCAATGTGTTGGATACTCAGCTGCCCTCTTGTCATGAGCAATAAACGCTGGCCTGGCCAGTGATACTCACATCCCGTGAAAGAATTTTTTAAAAATGTGCATTGGGATGATAGTACCAACATCATGGATCATGCACTCAATCTCATTTTCAGTGTCTCATCTTAACACAATATTCATACAGCAGTTAAGTTTTTCAATTTTTTCCTGGTAGCCACTCCTGGAAGATGTGTGCTTACCACTGGTGAAGACTGCTGCCATTACTTTGTTGTAAGCTTTATCCAGATCACCTCTTCTCTCAGCATTCTTAAAGACAGCTTCAGCAACAGTTACAAACTCCTCAAATCCAATAACAAATGGCAGAATACCAATCTTAGTCTTCTTTGGGACCTTAGCTTCTTCTATTTGCTTGCACAAAGTAGACTGAAATTAAATGTAAAAAATAGTAACTTTAAAGCAAAATTACAAGGTTGTAAACACAAATTTCCATAAGTGGACTACGTTTGATGGCTTTCTAAGAACATATCTTAATATAAACTTGATAAGAACACATTACATTGTACCACTATAACATATTTACTTCTAATACCAATAATCCCAGCTGCTGCTGGTCAGTGGATGTTTTTCATGTCTGGAATATTTGCAGTAGCATTCAGCAGTGTCCAATTGTGCATGCCTTTCTCTTGGTTGAATGCATTCAGGGTTTATAGTTAAAGGTAGGGAATTGAGAAGTCTGTAGATGATTCAAAGACTTAGCATGATGACTAATTCTGACATGGAGACAGCAAGATGAGTTACAGAAAGAGTTAATGGAGTTCAGACTGAGAATTAGCTCAGCCAGAAGGAAAGTGGTGGTGGATGGAGACTGCAAAGCCTCTTTTCAAGGTCGAAAGAGAAACCATTCTTTTGGAGAATGGACATATAGGAGTGTACATCTGTGTTACAGTGGGGCTACAGCAGAAAACTGGAAGTTCAGCAGACGGGCAAGTGTATATTTCGGCTGAAAGTGGGAGGGCAGTTAGTGCATGGAGGAGGATACAGGCCACTGTAATTTAAAGAAAGCAATCTCAAAGATTAGTCCTCGTGTGGCTGGGTGAGAGGAGGAATCACTGGAACAGGCCTTACAATTGGTAGAAAGTTCAAGCCTTCTTCATTGCTTTAAGATGAGACACTGAAAATGAGATTGAGTGCAGGATCCATTATATTGGTAATATCATTCCGGTCACTTGATACCACAGCACAGCAAAATTGGGGGAGGTTAACGTGTCGAAAGTTGTAAGTGATGCTGGACTGCTTCCTGTAGAAACACAATTTTGCAGAGACCTTCAAGGTGATGCAGCATAACTGTGGCATTGGGTTTTTGGTCGCATTAAAGGTAACTGAAGGCCCAACTTTGACAGCCTCACTGTAATATTAGTGAGGCAGTCTACTGTCTCAAGAAATGCCCAAGTAAACACTTGCTTCTGTCCAGACACTTCAGAAGCAGCAGCCTTAGCAAAACACAAAAAAAGACCACTGACAATTGAAATTTTATTTGCATAAGTATATAGAGTGATCAAAATATTCAGAGATTAAGGACTTAAGATTTGCAGTGGCAGATTGTTCCTCCGACAAAAATGTTTTCTTTTAAATCAACCTATTTGAATCTGTTAACTCACACCTCCATCACAACGTAAGATAAGACTTAAACCCAGACCTTCTGGCCCAGAGCTAAGGACATTATCATTGCACCACAAGGTACAATTGCCATTCTGGCACCTCTCTCCAACCCATCAACAAAAGTTAAAAGGGGATGAAGAATTATCGGGGACTTGCAGGAATGTAGAGTTGAGGTTAAAATCTGATCAGCCATGGTCTTATTAAATGACTAAGAAGGCTCAAAGGGCAGAGTAGCCATCTCTTGCTCCTTGTTCGTATTTTCAGATTAGCCTGGAAATAGGCTGAAAGTCATGACCTCCAAATAACTAGTCAGCTGACACATATCTTGTTACAGTTCCTGTAGAATTAGCCTCACACTAAAAATGGAATTCACTGCACTTATCAGAACTAAAGCATTATCACGGGGTATTGTATCACATATAGGTAGAATGTGGAAAAGTGCCAGAACAGCCAGATACATAGCATCTTTTTGAGTTATTTACCAGTTTTAGATCACTCATTATACATACGTATACACAAAAGCAAAGAACAAAATATTAATGACTTACAATGCATTTGTCAAAGTTGCGTTTAATGTGCACCAGAATGTTTCCAAGTGTAGATTTGAGAAAGGAAGAACGGTCACAATCTTGAGTTATCAGTGCACGCTGGCTCACTACTACCAGCAAATGCAGGGTGTTGGAAGGGTTGATCTTGTCACACAGGTTTACAAACCCCTTTAGATCTTGTTCAAGAGTACTGAAAATTTCACTCATAATTTTCTTTTTAGTGCTTATACTGGGATCTTCCTGCCTAATAGAAAACAAAATTAGCAAAAGCTGCAGCATAGATATTTTGATCAGGAAATGTATTTACCAGAGTGAAGGATAAAAATAATTAATATACTGAAAGCTTACCAAAAATATAAAAATGATCTTTAGGTATTCAGGCTCCATGAATTACATATTCATAAATTCAGAAATCAATAGCAATTGTAATGTTTCAAAACATGAAAATCTTTGTATTATTCTGAATACATGAAGAATTTGCACTTATGTAGTGTCTTTTACAAACTCAAGGCTTTCCAAAATGCTTCAAATCCAATGAAGTATTTGGAAGTGTAATACAAGGAAATGAAGCAACTAAAGTGTTTCTTCAACATCAGAGATAAAATTGACAATAGGGATAAAAGACCAGATAATCTGATTTGGTGGTGGTCTTGGATAGGAGACAAATGTTGACCACAGTGAATGGAGAATTCTGTTATTCTTTTTCTGAATTTCTTCATGGGATGTCAGCATCACTGGCTAGGCATTATTGCCCATCCTAAATGGTCCAGAGAGCAGTTAAGAATGAAACACACTGCTGTGGATCTCAAGTCACATGTAGGCCAGACCAAATAAGGATGGCAGATTTCCTTCTGTAATGGATGCAAACAAAACAGATTGGCTTTTTACAACAATTCACAATGGTTACATGGTTGCCATTAGGCCAGCTTGAATAGTAGAAATAATGGGATTTTTGTGTTACTTTCAAAAGACAGCATCTTGGACAATGCAGTACTCCCTCAGTAAGATTATTTGTTCAGGTCTCTACACTGGGTTTTCTTTTTTTTAATTCATGTGGGCGTGGACATCACTGGCTGGCTAACATTAATTGCCCATCCTTAGTTGCCCTTGAGAAGGTGGTGGTGAGCTGCCTTCTTGACTACTGCAGTTCACATACTGTGGGTTGACCCATTATGCTGTTAGGGAGGGAATTCCAGAATTTTGACCCAGCGATCCTAAAGGAATGGTGATACATTTCAGGATGATGAGTGGCTTGAAGGGGAACTTGCAGGTTATGGTGTTCTCATGTATCTACAGCCCTTGTCCTTCTAGATGTAAGTGGATGTGGGTTTGGAAGGTGCTGTCTAAGGATCTTTGGTAAATTTCTGCAGTACACCTTGTGGATGGTGCACACTGCTGCCACGGAGCATCAGTGCTGGTAGGAATGGAGGCTTGTGGATGTGGTGCTAATCAAGTGGGCTGCTTTGTCCTGGATGGGGTCAAACTTCTTGAGTATTGTTGGAGCTACACACATCCAGGCAAGTCAGGAGTATTCAATCACACTTCAGACTTGTGCCTTGGAGTAGGGGGTCAGGCTTTACGGAATCAGAGATGAGTTACTTGCCACAGTTTTCCTAGCCTCTGACCTGCTCTTTACCCACTATGTTTATGTGGCAAGTCCAGTTGAGTTTCTGGTCAATGATAACCTCAAGGGTGTTGATGGCAGGAGATTCATCGATGATAAAGCCAGTGAATGTCAAAGCAGGGAAGTTAGATTAGCTCTTATTGGAGATGGGCATTGCCTGGCATTTATGTGGTGCACAAGTTATTTGCCACTTGTTAGCCAATGCTTGGGTATTGTCCACATCTTGTTTCATTTGAACATAGACAGCTTCAGTGTCTGAGGAGGTGAGAATAGTGCTAAACATTTTGCAACCATCAGCGAACATCCCCATTTCTGACCTTATCATGGAGGAATGGTCATTGATGAAGCAGCTGAAGATGGTTGGGCCTGGGACATTACTCTGAAGAACTCCTGCAGAGATGTCCTGGAGCAGAGATAACTGACCTCCAACAAACACAACCATGTTCCTATGTGCCAGGTGTGACTCCAACCAGCAGAGTTGGAGTTCATTCCAGTCTTGCTAGGCATTCTTGATGCCACACTTGGTCAAATGTGGCCTTGATATCAAAGGCTGTCACTCTCAGGAACAAAAACAGAAGTTTTTGGAAATGCTCAGCAGGTCTGGCAACATCTGTGAAGAAAAAATCAGAGTTAATGTTTCGGGTCCGGTGACCCTTCCTCAGAACTCTTTTGGCTGAAGACACCTGTGAGTGTCTTAACTTTTTCAGTGATGAGTTTGGCACTTCCATCATTGAAGAATCACAGGTTCTGACAAGTATCTTGAAAACTATTTCTGATCAATTTTAATTACTTCCATGAGATGAACAACTTCTGTGACAGCAGATGTTAGTAGGGAATGAAGCAAAATAACATTTCTGCGTTTTTGAAAGGTTACGTCTAATGCACGCATGGGAAACAATGACTGAATATAATAGCATACAGAAAACTTTTCTCCTAATTTATCTCCTCTTGCTGCTTATTTTTATTATTTTATTAGGTTCTCCTGGAGGAATATATATACCACAATAAGTCTATTGATATACTGGATCAATTTCAATGGTATTTCATACTTGAATATCACAAACGACTTGAATTTCAGTTGCCTTCATGTGGCCAAACACAGCTCTTTGAGTTGTAGGGAAATGGACAATGAGCAGTGAGTGACACACTAATGGCTGATTAAAGAACACCATAAGGATGCTACCAATTGAGAGCTAAGTTTATCAGCATTTAGCACTACCATTCTAGTTGAGTTCAAAGTTATGACTAGGTCTAGATATAATAGACAGAAACTGTTTCAGTTGGCAGAAGGCAAAATAAGAAAAAAACCTCTTCATTCATTGAGTGTCTATAACCTTGATTACATGCCTTGACAGGCTGGTGGAGGGACAGCCAATCATGGCTTTTCAACAGGCAATACATAAGCAGCTGAAGTAGAAAAAAAATGCAGAACCAAGAGAATAAGGCAATTTAGTTGGTCAAGCTAAATTGTTCTTGCACAGAGCCAGCATAAGCTTGATCAGCCAAATGGTGTCCTTCTGTGCTACAGCCTATGATGAATGAATGGGACCTCATGAGGGTAAGGACATTGCTAACAGTTTGGATGGATCTGAAGTTTATGGAGGAAAGAACCGGAGTGATGCTGGCTTGGAATAGTTAACTTAGACACAGTGAAGACATGTATTACTACTTATGCAGCGAATGTGCGGAGATAGATGAATGAAGCTGGCTGATATGAGCAAGGTGAAAATACGGTGATTGTTTGAAGAGGTGGTAGGAGATTCATGTCAGTGACAAATCTGAAACCAAGGCTGAAGACAGTATGATACAGTCTCAGGTAGTTGTGAGGATGAGGGATGGAATTGATAGCTAATATATGGAGTTAGCAGGGGGAATCAAAGAAAATGGCTTCAGACTTCTGCAAATTTAATTGGGGAAAATTTCTGCTCTTTTACAACTGGATGTCAGCTAAGCAGTCTGATAGTTTTACAATAGTTGAGGAGCCAGGTGAGGTGGACCTGCTTGTCATCCACTTACATGTGACACTTAATTTTGCATTTTTGGATGATGTTGCTATGGGGCAATATGTAGATGAGAAACACAGGCGGCCATAGATCAATTCTTGGGGACACCAGGGATAATGGTATAGGACCAGGAAGAGCATCCGGTGCAGGTGAAAATCCTGCTACAGTTAAAGAAGAATGAAACCAGGTGAGTGTATCACTGATTTTGAACTTGAATGATAATAAAGAAGGTGTGGTTACATCTGTCAAAGACTGCAGTTTGTGGGGAAGGATAATGAGCTTATCTTTGTTGCAAGGACTTGGGATATCATTTGTGACTTTGATCAGAGCCAGGTCTGTGGCAAGGCAGGAACCTGATTGAATGAATTCAAACATGGAGCTCTGGGAAAGATGGGAGCATAAGTGGGAGGTGACAAAATATTTCAGATCTTTTGAGACAAAAAAAAAGAGGTCAAAGATGGGACTGTGGCTTGTACGGTGTGATAAGGGTTGGTTTTTATGAGAAGAGTGCGATGACACATTTAAATGAGAAAGGAATGGTACCTGAAAAGAGCGTATGTTGAACAATATCAAGTAATACAGGGAACAAGAAGGAATGAAAGATAATCAGTAACTTGGTTGAAATAAAAGTTGAAGGAGTAGGAAGTGTGGTTCATGAACAAATTGAGCTTGGTAGAATATGACGTGAGAGAGAAGACCAGCTGCTGGACCTTCCCTCCAGAAACGGACGCTGGATCCGTAACTTGGTCCCAAACCCCACCTGAATGGAAACAGCCACTCACTGGGATTTTCAAAGGGAACTCCACCCACCCACTATAACCCATCTGGTCAGAGGTCTGTCATCCAATTAAAGAGACTGGGCAGGCTCTCAAAGCAGGATTGCCAAACAGACCTCCTAGCTTGCAAGTAGCAGCAGGTTGGTTTGGAAATAAACTATAGACATGCCTTATCTTCCATTTCTAAAAATATTAATGGACTAGGTCCTTTGATCAGTGGCACCGCTGACTACATGAAGATTTACAATCTTAACTTGATTACAGGCTGCAGTGGGAAATTGCTGACCCAACTGCAGCATTGGTTCAATGGTGAAGTCAATGGAGAGGCATTGCTAGCAAAGCCACATCTTCTTTTGTCACCATAAACATGTCCTTTGAGATCTATTTTCAATTCAAATGGCAGGTATATGTTCCTTAATTCTTTGGAATTATTTGATGTTGGCAATATATATTTTAATTACAGCTCATCCAAGTCTCCTCTCCATACCCAATAAAAATCTGGAATTAGAAAGCTAGTCTAATGGCATTCATGTAACCATTGTCAATTATTGTAAGTATCCATCCAATTTACTAATGTCCTTTAAGGAAAGAAATCTTCTAACCTTACCTGGTCTGGTCCTTATGTGACTCCAGAACTGTGGCAATATGGCTGACTCTTAACTGCCTCTGAAATCACCTAGCAAACCATTCAATTCAGGGACAATCACGGATGGGCAAGTGACACTGGCATTGCTAACAACATCCAATCCCATGAGTGAATAAAACAATGTACAACAAAAAGCAATGATTATCTTTGCATTCTAGGATAATCCTGGAATAGTTAACATTTTTCATTCTGTTAGCATCCAATACAGCTTAATATAGTCCAGAAAGATTTGGCAATAAATGGTTAAACCAGTGGCCCACCGTATCCATTCTAGTCTCCGTCCCTTGGTCTTAAGGGAGCAGAAATGAAAGTTTCAATGGAAGATGATCAGTGTGAGTGTGAGTAAAGGTTTTGGTGAAGAATACAGTATTGAACATAGAGATGAGGAAATGTAACAATGCAGAAATGTTATAATGAATGATATCCAAAGGCTAGATAACTGGGATTCTAGCACAGTTGTAAGTGAATCATAGAATAACTTTTTTCAGGGATGGCACATAAGGAATTAGAGTTGGGTAAGGAAAGGGGAAGTCAGTAAAGAGTAATATTAGGAATTGATTAGAGATGATGTAATGATTGATAGGGTGGGAAGTGTGAGATTGCAAGAGATAGCAAATTCAAGAGGGTGGTTGTCAAAAATGGGTTCAGGAGTTCACATGGAGAAGAATAAGGCAACAGTAAACTAACAGGAGAAAGAGTATGATGGGTTGAACTGGAGGATGAAGTCACTAAGGACGAGAAGTCACACTGTGCAGAGGGCATAATGGTATATCAGTGAGTTATAGAGTTATAGAGTCATACAGCACAGAAACTGACCCTTTGGTCTAATTTGTACATTGTACAATTTGTACATACAGGTTCCCCGAACTAAACTAGTCCCACTTGCCTACCTTTGGCCCATATCTCTCTAAACCATTCCTATTCATGTACCTGTCCAAATGTCTTGCAAATGTATCTGCATCTACTACTTCTGATGGTAATTTATTTCACATATGAACCACTCTTTGTGTGAAAACATTGCCTCTCAGGTCCCTTTTAACCCTTTCTCCTCTCACCTTAAAAATATACCCCCTGGTTTTGAACTCCCCCTACTCTAGGGAAAAGACCTTGGTTATTCACCTTATCTATGCCCCTCGTGATTTTATGAACCTCTATATGGTTATCCCTCAACCTCCCAAGCTCCAGTGGAAAAAGGTCCCAGCCCATCTAGCCTCTCATTGTATAGAGACTGATGATTTTAAATAAGGGCAATAGAAGTGCACCAAGATGAGATGTTCAAAGGAGGAGAAAACGTTAGAGGGTTAGAGGGACGGTTCAGACGGCTACGTGTGATAACAGCCAGATCTCCATAACCTTGGCAGGATAAGTGATTTCTTTGAGTTGCTTTATTTATTGACATATGTATTTTGTAACAAAATACAGTGAAAAGTGTTGTATAGTATCACCATACTCTGATGCCATCTTAAAACACACAAAAAAACCAAAACATAGAATATAAAGACAAAAAAAAGAGAAAGTGCTCAACTTTATAGTCCTTCTTGTTGAGTGTTCCACCATGAGTCGTGGGTCTGGTGGCCAGGCACGGCGGTCCCATTTGCCATGTTGCCGCTGCTGGAACAAAAGTTGCAACTCTTTGGTGCCATCTCACCTCCACCAATACCCTCGCCACTATGAGTCCTCAGTGGACCTCACCAACACAGATGCCACTGGCGCTGCATTGGCCCAAACTTGACTCTACCGCCACCACAAGTATGCTTCAGGCCCATCTCTCCTATGCAATCGCTGTTGATGCTGCAGGGTCTTACACCAGGCACAAACCTGCCTCTGCACTGGAAACCCAAACTTGCCTCCACCACAGCAGCCATGAGTCGGGGCTAGGACGATCTCATCTATGCAGAAGATGGGAGGTATAGCTAGACGGTGGGGGTCCATTCAGAGTTAGATGTTATAATTCCTCAGTCAAATCTCTATCAAGGCCAAACATTGAAGCAATGATGCACAGTAAGTTTAAGGATGATGTGGTCAGGTGACCAGCAGCAGAAATGGTTATGAAACTGGTTAAGAGCTACAATCAAGCATGCTGGGAACTTTGGTCAAGCTAGTTTAAACTTTGACCTCAGTTAAACTGCAGCCAATCTGTTCCATAAGCTGTGATCTGTAGTTTCCTGTGTTGACCAAATAAGACAAGTATAATGGTGGTCTTGACCACTACTACCCTATATGGAGCTGTTTACAGCCTGCTGTAAACAACCTGGAGTTGATTACCAGTAAATTCCATTGGCTGGGATCAAACAATTTGATCAGGCTTTGATCACATCAGGCTGAGTGCCAAAGGAAAGGTACACATTTTCAGATAAGTGAACAAAGAACAAGGGAATATTTTTCTCAGAGAGAGGAGAAGAAGTCTTTGAGACCACATTGGAAAAGCACGTGCCCTGAAGTTACTTTCAGAGAGAACAAAGAACCATGAAGCAAGATGTGCATGGAGAACAAAGTTAGCCAGTTCACTCAAATCGAGATAGTATTTGATTCAAGCCAAACTCATAGAGTTAAAGTTAGAGTTAGGGTTAAATGTGGATTAAGTAAAGCTAAGGTAAAGTGAAGTGACTTAAAATTGACGTTAAGTTAGATGAAATAAGAAGTAAATGTGGCAATGAATGTATGTTTTATATTAAGTATTGTTACTTAAGGAATTAAAATGAAGATGGATTTGTTTAGTTAAAGTCTGAGTCAGTTCCTTGACTTTTGTCTGTCATCCAAGGAATATCTGGTTAAAAAGTTTCAGTCCTCCTTTTCGGGTAACAATGACCTTCCCCTTCCCTTCCCAACTCTATTTCATTATGCACCACTCCTGATATAAATTATTCTATAATTCACTTGCTTCTGCATCAAAATCTCAACTGCCTAGCCTTCGGACATCTATTCATTATGACATTTCTGCAACTATTGACTTGCTCAAGCCCATCCTCATTTCTGGATTTGGTACTATGCTCTCCGATATAGCCATTACCCATTCTCTCACTGACCATATTTCATCGCAGCTTTCAATTTTGTTCCCTTAAGATCAAAGGACAGAGACTAGAACAGATATGGCAGGCCACTGGATTAATCATTCATTGCCAAATTATGCTGGATCATTTTAAGCTTTGCCGGATGCTACCAATGCTAAAGAAGTGTTCATTATTCCAGGATCATTTTGCAAGTTCCAAGATGACAAACAACTTGCTTACAAATAAATAGACATTCTTAAAAGGAGGTGTGGATAGAGGTTGTGAGAACTATTCTTCTTCACATGCAGAGTTCATGGAATCAGATCTGCTGGACTGATGTGGATGGAAGAATGATTGGCATAATGCCTATCCTTACCTTACAGCATGATCAACACTACTTGATGAAGGATGGTATCAACATGATTGCTTCAAATATTAGGCAAGGGTAAAACATCGACATTAAAACAATAACTTATTTGTGCAGATTACATCACAGAATTTTTGGACATGAAAATTGTGTTCAATGTACAAATATGAGTTACTCTAAACTTTGAGTACTGACATCAGGCAAGCATTTTTTTTGTGCAGGTGGCCTGTGAGACACTATAGTAAATAAATTGCAGACAACTGCCATTCATTGCTTTAAAACATGACAATTAATATCAAATATTAAGAAGAGTAAACAAATTATTACACGGTTAATATATATACTTTCTATATATAAGATCCAGAGAACAATTAACGGGTTGGTGTCTCTGATCTTACTTCTCTAACTGCTTAATAAATAGCCAAAAAACATATAAAGGTAGCAAATGCGATAGTTCAATATGTGATTATGGAAGTGATAAGCCCAAACATTACATTACAATAGTTGTTACGTACTCTGTAGCACTCCGATAAGTTTGTACTCTCTCCATTGAATCCTGGTTAACCACATGAATGAGATCACACTTACTCCCCAACAACTGGAAAAAAAGATTGAATATAATGAATACAACGTTTTGAGGTTGAAACTCAAGAATGGCTCAGCTAATGTCAATGATGAATCTATCAAAGAATTTATGAGCTGATTAGTGTGAAACAGAACCTCTTTCATATAGTTATTGATCAAGAAATGCAATACCTGGATACCACTGTTTTCTAAATTAACTGTAGAATAATACAGTGGATGCTGGAGATCTGAAACAGAAACAGAAAGTGCCAAAGAAAATCAGTAGGCCTGTCAGCATTTGTGAAGAGAAAAACTGAATTAATGTTGAGTCCAGTGAACCTTCACCAGAACTGAAAGCAGCTGAGAAGTGCTGATATTCATGCTGATGGAATATGTGTATGGTGTTGGCATCTTGCTGGAGATGGTGGAAATAGCAACTCATGATCCTTTGAATGCAGAGGCTGACAGAGCAGAAAGTAAGCACAAGGAGTGCAATATCATCATTGCAGGAGGGGAAGGGAAAGGGTGAGGGAACAAGTGTGAGAAATGGATCAAAAATGGCTAAGGGCCTAGTCGACCATCGTGGCAGGGGATGGTTGGTTTCAGGAAAAGGTTAGACATTTCAGAGGTCCCCCTGCTGAAGTAGGCATCATCAGGGCAGAAGCAATGGAGAAGGAGAAACTGGGACAATGGAATAGAAGCCTTCAAGGGAGGTGCCACTTTAACACACCAGCATGTGCCCATGCCAATGTTTCTGTCTCAGGCCTACTGCCATGCTCCAGCAAAGATCAACACAAGCTGGAGATACAACAAACACCTCGCCTTCTGCCTAGGTATGGTACAGTCTTCAAGGCTTGATGTTGAATTTAACAATTTCAGAACATGAACACCTTCTTCCATGTTTGTTACTCAATTTACACTTCTTGTTAGCACTCTTTTGGCATTCACTTCTCTCCCAGTTTACGATCAGTAATCCCTTCATCATCTTTTTTTCTCTTTCTGGGCACTGTCTCCAACCATTCACTCGCTCCTCCCCTAGCTGACACCCAACCCCTCATCAATAGCATAAATACCACAATTTCCCAGCTACTTTCAGTTCTGACAAAAGCTCAGTGGACTTGAAATGTTAACTCTGCTTTTCTCTCCACAGATGCTGCCAGACCTGCTAAGTTTCTCAGGCACTTTCAGTTTTTGTTTCAAATTAACTGCTTTCTCCAAAATTTTCAGTACCAAGAAAGACACTGGTTACCTCTAACGTGATGAAAATTTAGCACTGATTAGTGGAAAATGGAATGAAGAATGCTATCTTGCAAGCATAATAAAATCCTTACATTGAAAAATGACAGATTTTACTCATTGAGCAATCTAAATAATAGTGATAGGATTTGATTTCAAGCTTTTTTTGAGGATATGTGAAATCCTAAAAGTGTTATATGGTTTAAAATAATCAAGTCAAAAACAAGGACATATATTGTTAAAATTTGACAATTTAGAACATTACTACAAAACCTGTGGTGCTTCACTGCATGTGTCTTCTGTCAACATAAAGAATTTGGTGATAAATTCCTCCTCGGCAATACATATGGGTTCCAGTTCGGCTAATACCTGGTCTATGATCTTGAGAGAGGGACAAAAAAAAATAGTAATGACATAAACTCAATCAAGCAACATGCTTTTGCAATAATTGTACTAAATGTTGACAAATGATAGGTTTACAAAGACTGACCTTAAAGCTTTCCAAATACTCTGGTACACAAAAAAATCATGCTTCCTTCAAAAAAAACCTGGTGAACCAGTTATTTTAAAAGTAGCATCTCACCAGTTTCATTGTAATTTTCTATTATGCAAATTATCCAATTATGAAATTTAATTCCTTGACTGGTCTAGCAGAAATTAGAACTGGACCCTAAATTACTCATTCATAATATCATAATGGCTGCATCGTTATATCTTCAGGTACCATGTCTCAGGACAGCATTGACAATGATGGCTGCCCATGGTTATGCTTGCCAAGATGTATGGCAGTACAGTGAAGGTTTACCAAGCTGATTCCGGAGATGGCGGGTCTGACGTATGAGGAGAGATTGACTAGATGGGGATTGTTTTCGCTACAGTTCAGCTGAATGAGGGGGGATCTCAAAGAGCCTTATAAAATTCTAAGAGGACTGGACAGGGTAGATGCAAGGAGGATGTTCCTGATGGTGGGTGTGTCCAGAACTAGGGGTCACAGTATGAGGATTCAGGGTCGACGATTTAGGACAGAGATAAGGAGACATTTCATCACCCGAAGAGTGGTGAGCCTGTAGAATTCATTACCATAAGAAGTAGTTGATGCCAAAACAGATTGGGACGAATGGGATCAAATGTTATGGGGAGAAAGCAGGATTAGGCTTTCGAGTTGGATGATCAGCCATGATCATGGAGAATGGCAAAGCAGGCTTGAAGGGCTGAATGGCCTCCTCGTGCTCCTATCTTCTATGTTTCTATACTGCAGTGGTTTGCCATTGCATTCTGTAGATGACTGAAGGGCTTGAATTCCTCTGCATCATTATCGTAACCCACGAACCTTTCTTTTTTCACCCTGTCAAAAATCACACACCAGGTTACAATCCAACAGGTTTATTTGAAGACACAAACTTTCGGAGTCTCACTGCTTCTTCACTGGCACCTGAAGAAGGAGCAAGACTCTGAAAGCTTGTATCTACAAATAAACCTGTTGGACGATAACCTGGTGTCGTGTGATTTTTGACCTTGTCCATCCCAGTCCAAAACTGGCACCTCCACATCATTTTTTCATATGTTGGCATATGTTGGAAGAATTTTTATAAGTTGATGCTTAAGTTATTGGCCGTGTTATCAAGGTACCTACATTGGCCATCAGGGACTGAGCTGAACCCAGAGCTTCTGGCTCGGAGACAGGGACAATTACCTTTGTGCCACGAGACCTCCCACTACTTCATAAGGGATACAATTCTTTTATCTGTTAAATTAAATCATGTTAGAACAGAACAAATGTCAGTCATTTTTAACCTAGAAAGAAACTTCCTTAGAAACAAAGTAGTAGTTTTAATTTGACCTTATCAGCTGGATGTTTGCTACTGAGGGCAGGTAGCAAATTATCTGACCCAGCAGACCTGTATATGTTTAAAGGGCTCCACTGGACTAAATTTTCACTCCAAAGTGGTGGGTTGGGACTAAATCAGTTCGCAGGCCCCAGAAGGATTGGGTGAGCAGCAAGTTGGGCTGGTTAGAAGGCAAACTTGCTTCTCTGGGAATTTTCTCAGTAGCTTTTAAGATTTTAGGCCCTCCACCCTTCACACCAACCCACGTAGTAGTATCATGCTATGTTATGTCTCCCTCCCATGCAGCTCCATGCTTTCTTCTACCTCTAAGGTGCTTTGATGACATCACATGCCACCCTCCACCTCCACCATTCCCCCTCTTACCTTCCACTGCATGACCCTTCATATTTCTATGTCATTTTCACAGCCATTCACTCTGTATTCACCATTCACCCATCCATCCACCTCAGGAGCCATTAGATGAAAGAGTCTAAGAACCTTATACAGCTCTCACTCACATATACTGGATAGTACAAACAAAAACCCATTCATAAAACCTATTCAAAGCTTTCAATTCCCCAGGCTCCTTATTCCTGGACAAAGCCACCGTTGCCCATGAAGCAAGTGGCTGGCACTTAATACAGCAGGTTTCCTCCAAAGAGCTCAGGGCACCCATAACTTGAATTAAATTCCATCCTTTGTTTTCAGAATTACAATTAACATCTCTTCCTTATAATCTACAATGCAGATCAATGGCTCACTAGATAGCAGCACAGATGGGATATAAGCTGGAAGATAAAGTGACAGGCTAAATAGCATAATTTTAAAAATAGGAGGGGTAGTACGTCATTCAGCCCCTCAAGCCTGCCCTACTATTCAACAAGATCATGGCTCATCTGCCCCAGGTCTCAACTCCTCTTTCGTGCCACCTCAGTATGGCCATCAACTCCCTGATATTTCAGAAATTTACCTACCTACTCTTTAAGTATGTTCAACGATCCAGCTTCCTCAGTTCTCTGTGGTAGAAAATTTCAGACATTCACTACCCTTTGGGAGAATAAATTCCTTTGTACCACGGTTTTAAGTGAGTATCCCCTTATTCTGTAACTATATCCCCTAGTTCAAGACTCCCCCTCTAGTGAAAACATCTTTTCAACATCCACTCTGTGAAGCATCCCTCGGAACCTTGTATGTGCTCTGCGCCCGACTGCACATCTGTAGCTAACACCAAACACACCTGTAGCCACAGATGAGAGCAATCAGCTCTATCTTTGAAAGCAAGTTTGATATTACAAATTCATATTTTGGCCTGGCAAATGATTTTAAGCTAGATGCCTACAGAGGAGCATTGATAAATTGATGTTTGATGTATATGTATAGACTGTTATAGGAAATAAGACCTGCAAGGACAATGGTTAAAGAGGCGCAGCCTGATTTGCCACACCAGGCAAAATATTACCAAACATATTTTCAAATATTGCATTTATAGGGAAAGTTACAAGATTGATGCCAATCATGCAATTGTTATGGTGCATAACAATTTAGGCTATTGTGACTGTACTGATTCACCTAGCAAGTTAAAGAGCCAACTGCGGTATTGAGTCATTTGTTGCAAAGATAGCTGTTGCAAATACGTACCGTAAGATTGGCACAATCACTGACAAAGGCAATCAACTGGTGACTAAAGTCAACATGCTGGATTTATTTTGCTTTTAGTTTTGGCTTTCATTGCTTAAGCAATGCACATTCAGCTGAGTCAAAAGATTGAGATGCTTTCGATGCTGTTCTTAAGATTTTTCAGATTTTAGGTACATTAATTGTGTCACTTCTCTTGCCCTTGGCAATTTCTGTTTTCATCAGTACCATGTTCCTCACAACTGTTCAAGTTACCTACTCTATTTGTATCCTGATATATTTTTGGGTTAAGTATGCTACTAATTCCAAGGTGAACCCATTTTAAAAAGGCACTGAAGGAATATACTACAAAGGTAAAACTTAGATTGTTCACTGAGATTCAGCCATACCTGTGTACAAAATGTAGAAATGCTCCATTCTTTATCCTGTTCATCCTTTGCCTTAAACATCGCAGATGAAGCCACAAAAAGAAGGATGATATTTAAAGTCAGTGTATTACAGGTTAGTGCTATGCAGATATTCTTTGCTAAAGCAGGTATAAACAATTAGTTACCACAATTTTTCAGAAAATGAATGAAGGGAGTATTAGAAAATAAACCTTGACGTCACTGTGTATAGAAATATGAATCTAGCAGGTGATTGGTTAATCAGACTTTTAACGGATTAACTCAAATGCTGCAATCATAAAATATTTATAAATTACAGCTGATCAGGTTGGTAGTCATACAAAACAAATGTGGGCAAAAATATTTAAATTAATAAAGAAATAAAGCTACTAGGGCTTTCTAAAACAGCCAATCCTGATCAACAGATCAAAGGGACCTCATTAAATAAAAGTAAATCTGAACCAATGAATTATGCATCAACTGAATTTGACCAGTACTGCTGATAGTCTGTGTGATAATAAAGGGGCCAAGGAGTGTGTGTGGTTAGAATCTCCCCTACATGTTTTAAATACAACTTGTCCCTCTTAAAAGCGAGCTACAGAGCTCATCATACTGAAGATTTTGCTAACTGTGGAGAACGTGGCTACAAGAGGACGTACACCAATGCAGAAGCAGATCAGTGGGAGGTCTCTGGATTTCCCATTGAGGCACTGAGGCATTAATACAAGAAATGCAAAGGAGGTAATGTTTCTAAAGGGGGCATTGAGCGCTCAATGTAAACCCTGCAAAAAGGAGGCCAATCTTGGATTCTGCATAGATGATCTGCAGTATTACCCAAAAATGTTCCTTTTCTTTAAAGGAGGTCTTTCAGCCAATCCTACCTGTGCCAGCTCTCTGTAAGATCAATTCAACTAGTCCCAGTCTCTTGCCCTTTTCCTTTAGCACAGAATGCTTATTCTCTCCAGATGCATATATAATCTCCACAGTTCCTACTGTTTCAGCACTTCCCTTTGAGCTGTACTCTTAGCAGGTGGGATATTCCACTCTAGTTCCTGTTCCTGAAGGCCTGCCATGAGAATGTTAGTTATCTGATTGGGGAAGGCCTGCCAAATTTCAAGCCAAAGGAGGCAATATATGTCACAGATAGTGGGAACTG